AGATTGGGTCACATAACGCAAGTATTCAGACGAGCAGATTTTAGTCACGCAAAGCTGTTCAGTAAAGCTACGATAGATTTAAATTTACATCAGCTCTAAATAAGGAAATTTATGATTTAGTAAGTTATTTTTTATCCTATTCGATGCCCTTTAAAATAGATCGGTAATATCAGAACTTGCCTTCATAAAAATTCTCAAATTAATAACCTTAAGCGTAACTGACTTAAAATACTTTCATCCATGGAGAAAGGTAAGGCAAAAACATTAATTAACTTCAGGGGTTGTGTAAAAACATTAATTGACTTGTATGAATAATTTAGGTTTACCAGAAACAAAAACTTGAACTTCATTTTTGAATCCATGTTTCTCTGATGTAAAACGTATCATTCAGAAGTCGTCTGCTTTCGAAAAATTTTAATGCGAAGATTTCATTCACTGTCTTTGTACAAAGTTCCTAAAATTTTAATTAATAATGTCTGGAATAATATTGTCAGTACAGAAAGAAAAGATTTTTTTTGACTCATTTCTCATTCGAAAATATTTTTTTTTTATTGTTGCCTTGCAAGAAAATTTAAGTTTCATACAATTTTATTAAAATGCATTGCGAGATAAAAACGTTACTCTTTGAATTGTCTTATACGTTTCATTTTCTAAGCTGGAACATTTCCTATTTGACAAGACCTTCAGGAAGTAATGAATAATACTATCCTTCATTTAATTAGCATTAATACTCGTATCTGTATAAGCAATAATAGGAGCAGTATTTCAATAAAAATTCATTTTAAATTAATTGCTGCTGATGTAAAAGAGAACAATCGGCGCTATACTGAAGAACCTTTATAAATCACTTTTTATAAAACAGATTTTGTCCTCATGAAATTTTAATGCTCATAAAAAATCTTAAGATTTTTTCAATTTTCTAATTTAAAATTAAGCCTTACTCAGTGCTTAGAAATATGCAAGACTATGTGTAAGACTATGATAAGAAACGTTTCTTCGAAGAATGATCTTTCACAAGTGTATAATCTTCATGAGCATGAGTTTGACATATTATGATAAGATTTTAGTTAAATTTCCGAGGTTTTAGTTTGAATTGAATTGCTTCCAAATTATTCTAATATTATTCCCAGAAACTCTCGGGACCTCAGGATAGCGATGCAAATTTAATATCCGTCACGTACCGTAATGAAGATTTCGATCAGCATATTCTACGATTTGCTAGAGCTTATATTTCAAATTGTAGTCCATTTACAAAATGAAAGTACAATTGCTCATAGTAAAACCAGAATTCTAAATTATGGTCGATGTTTACAGAATCCCGTGCTGCCTTTATTTTCGCAATCAGTGGTCCTAGATGTGAACTTTTAACTATAAAAATGTTTTGAACTCTCGAATACTCATGTTTTTGTATTTTTAAATTGAAGAACAATATATCAGTTTTACAAAATTTACGAAATGTATCTTCATATACTATCTCCTTGTTTTTATAGTTACTTATGAGTATATTTAATAGAAGTTTATACTCATTGTAAAAATATATGTAGCTATGTTGGACTTTCATTCGACAAAATTGACAGAAATATTTCATTTAAAACTTTCGATAGTGTCTTTTCGAAAATCCAATCTTATGTTAATAGATTAAGTGCAGAGTGTCATGATACGTTTTGATCAATACACAAAAAGGAGAGCTTATTAACAGCCACTTTTAAAATTTATATATTTTAAAAATATATTACAGACTTTAAGCATTGACATATGTATATATATAAAACCATCTCGTAACATTATTTGCACAAATTAAAAAAGAGAGCTATTTCTTGTTCGATGACTTTTTTTTTTTTTTTTTTTAAATTGTGATCCTAAAGTATTAAAATTATATGATCCTAAAGTAATATAACGTGATATGAAATGCATCAGTGACTATTACTGATGCATTTTTAACATTCGAAAGTTTATAAATTACTTGCGGGAAGATGCTTTCGACATACCAAATATAGCAAAATTATAGATTAGAGAATGTTACGTACTAGTAAATCACAAAGAGATATCGTTGAATGACTTTAAATAAACAAAATTTTATTTTATATTCATTTATTTTTAACCCATCCCTTTAAGAAAGCTTTAAAAATTTATTTTTGCTGTTTAAAAATATGTAAAAATTCCAAACTCTGAAATTAATTATCTGGTTCAAGTTTTGTTGAACAGAGGTCAAGCTATTTGTGTTTAATTATTTAAAATGAGTAAAACTTTTACTAAGTATAACTATAAAAACAAGTGGACCGAATAAAAAGATTTCGTAATTTTAACAAAATTAATTTATTAAATTTTATGACTGCGGAACGTAAACATTTGTGAAATTCAAAATACTTTTCAACGGAATGGCATGCGTACGACATATAGTTAAGAAATAAAGGCCTCATAAGGTCTTTTATGAACACAAAGTGTTAACGGTTTGATAAAATGAGCATTTCTATAAAGATTTGGAAACAAAACATTAAAGACTGTTGTTGGATGCCTGGTAAGTTATGAAAAAGTACTCTAAGGCCGTCTGTCTAAAAAAATGACATAAATTTTGCTTTACAAAAAATGGTCTCTTTGTATAAAAACTGGCGTTCTAAAAGGAAATTTTCACATGACACATGAAGATAATCAGGGAAATACTTTAACATGTTCAAGCATTGATACGAAACTCCAACTAGTAGTCTCTAACAACTACTAGTTATACTTTAATATTCTATGCTCTTGACTGTTAATCAGCTTATGGTTATTGTTATTCCTTTTTTTTTTTTTTTTTTATTTATTGCGTGCTCCGCCCTTAGGCACTACACGGAGGGAGGGTTGCCCGTGGAGGTCTTTTTAGGGAAAACTGGCTCGTATCCACGTTACACATGGGGAAAACCACGAAAACGCTCAAGCAGCCAGCCCGTTCGCCGGGATTCGAACCCCGGAACGAACTACCAGTGTTCAGCGGCTTTTACCGCTCGGCCGCTGGTGGGCCGCATTGTTATTCCTTTGACGAAAGAAAAGGAAATTAAATATTAGTTTGTACCCAGAGAAAACTCTTTCAAATCCTAGATTTATTATATCATTCCTTTATTACATTTTTACTAAATCTATTGCTGTGTTACGGAAAAAATTATTCGCTTCTTTATATATATATATATTTAAAAACCAGAATCGGTGTATATAACCGGAAAAATTTCCATTTGTTATTTCTATGGCATTTTTTCAAATCTTTATTATGAAACTGAACCTAAAAAGAGTTATGGGAAAACAAATGCAACCTAAAATGGTAATTCGCTTTAAAAACCTCACTAAATTTAGATAAAAATTACAACCATTCGGTATATACATGCACAGTTAGAAGCATTGGATCTAAGTGCATATGTGATTAAAATAAGCACTTTAATTTATAGAACACTTGAAATTTATATCGAATTTATTTAGTCTATGTGTTTGTGCATAAGTTTACGCATGGTTTTAAATAAATGCGACAAACACCACTTAAGACATGCAAATGACATCTAATTTTCATTTGGATGCATTGAATTTCATTGCCGATTTCATTCAATTTCATTGTGGATATTGCAGTGTAAAACTCATACTGGTGTTAATATCGCAAATAATATCTTAGGATGGTACTACTTTATTTTCATGGCCTTCAGGATAAATCGCCAAATTATGTAAAAAAAGTAGCCAAACGAAGGGCAACCATAACTCTCACTTTCCACTTCTATTTTCCGAATTAGACGAATAAATTATAGCAAATATTCAATGCAAAAACACCCGAAATTCATTCGACTATAAATATAATAAATAACAAGTACCTGAAATAAAGGCAGTAATACTGTTGAAACTGACGAGTTTGTTTGCGCGGCAAAAAAACAACGGCAGGGTACTTCCACAACAGTTTTAAATATTCGTCGGATTATGATGTGAAAGTGGCGAATGCTTTCTTATTTACGTTCCAAATCGAGAAGCAAGCATACTGATGTCGATAATAGTAGACCACGTTATATTAGCAATTTATATTAGAAGCTGCATAGCAAAATGTATGATGTTTATGTATAATCACAACAGATGAATATAGATAATTTCTACAAATCATAATATACCACTCTAATGTGATACCTTCCCACTAATATATGACTGAATTTAATACCTGACCAGAAATATACTTCCACGCTTATTTATACATGATACACATAATTATAACTTAATATTCGCGAGAGGTTATTTGAGGTATCTTCAGCGTTTAAAGTTTTGGATTCACATGCATTTCTTTAAACAGCTGGGGTCCCAAAAGAAAAATAAAGCTGAAAATATATCACCCCTGAAATGACTAAACTTTGCAAAGTTCTCTGCTTCTGTCAGAAATACACGTGAAAGACTTCGATTCTGTTCGAAAATTGGTCATACGGCTTACGCCTCAGCTTTTACGACGCCTATAAAACACGGATTTTATGGCATTTCGGAGGCTTTTATAAACCCGATGTGTAGCCAATGGTGTTTAATACCTAAAAGTTTGAATCGGTTGAACAAACCGTTCTTATAAGAAAGTTGTATTAGCAATTCGTATTTGGATCGAAATGGGAGTGAAAATTCTCAAGAGAAGTTCGGATTGCCTTCGAAATAAATTCTAGACAATTTTTAATACTCTGAAATTATTTAATAAGATTGAATAACTATTACAAAATATTAATGCATTCAGTCATTACATATTCAGCAGGTATTAGATCTAAATATAGTGCTACAGAGTAAGAAGCTAAAATCATAACATTCTGCTTAAAATTTAGCTCTTTATTTATTTTAACCTGAAAGGAGATATTCATATATGCATTGCTACATAAGCCTTCAAGTCTTGGAGATATTTATGTTCTCAAGAGTCATCTATGTTAATATTTTAAATCTATGAAAGATTCAAACATTTTAAAAAATTGTCTTGAAAATAATGTAAAATAATGTATTATTCTAAATTATTTAATGACATCATATTTACCTGGAGCTGCAAGACTCTTGCATCAAGCTACATCAGCTTAAAAATGGATAAATCGAGGTCAGTTTATTACGTTCAGATTGGTTCTTATAACGAGGCATTTAGAGAAAGACTCTGCAATGAAATAAATATCAGTTAAGTAATAAGTTGTAGCGTCATACTCCCAATTTAAGAAATTAATCAAACAGGGTACATACCAGATAATAACAGTTTTGTATGCCGCTATTTTCATATAAAATTAGGCCTAGCGAAAAATACTTTAAAGACGTGTACTAAGATAAAGTTCTGAGTAGCATGAAAGTGAATGAAGTAATATTCATCGGCCCCCTAAATGAGAGACACTTATAAATTATAAAATTCTGAAAGATGTTTGAGGATAATGAACTAGCACTCTGTGAGTTCTTTGGCCAAGTAATGCATTAATATCTGCAAATAATAAAGGAAACAATTATCCACAATTAGTTTAACAACTCGTGGATAATTACTACAAGCTAGGATACAGAACGTAACTGGAAATTCCCTTTCTCACTTGTATTTTTCCCTAAGAGTTTGGACTATGTTAATGACATAATAAGGAAAATGTTCGATCAAGATATTTTGAAAATGGAATAGAGTTATCAAGCTATATAGGATCAAAACACGATGAATAGTTATGGTTGGTTTCTAAAAAGGGAAAACGTCACCTCCTACAACAGAAAAAAATAGCTGTAACTATTAAAAATATTTATCACTTTTGGAATAATTTCTATACTGAATTCTTTAAATTAACAACAATGCATGCAATGCATATTTTCCCAGACACCCTTTTCATTTTATTTAATATGTTAAATTAAATTCACTAACTGATAAATTCGAAATCCTTAAACCTAACACTAAAGCTTAAAGATTACTTTTTAACAGTAACGCAAGTGTGTTATATTCTGCCGCACTATCTATGCTAAATAATGTCACTTTACGCAAGTATATTACTTAAGTAACTAGAATTGCATATTAATGTAGCTGGAATATTTTGTCTCTTTTTGCTAGGATCCATCGCCTTCCTATCATACAAAAGTATTACCTGCTACGATTTTCTTTTTTCATTTCCATGTTCCTAAGTGTCAGCTTAGTTAAAATTATCTGTTTTCTTTCATGCAGCATACGGAATGCTCAAATTTGTTAGTAAGTGTTACTGTAGTTCATATCAAAATAGATACCAGCCAAAGGTTTTATAAAACAATCTCTAATGCAATTGCTTTTTCTTTATTATTAAGGTCATGATTGATAAATCGAATTTTCTACGTCGCTTATGAAACTCAGGCAAAGCATCAATGAAAGGCTATTTACTGAAAGAAGTATTAAATATTTTTATGGAACGTTTTTTACACAAATAAAGGGTTTTTCTTTGTACAAAAAAACGTTCCATAAAAAGACACTTTTCTTTTCATGCTATTAAAAAATGATCTTCTAAGAATGTTTTAATAAAAATATTTTTAATTTGTAGGAAGGTATACTACTTATTATCTTGGCAAAAAAATAAATTGCTCTTGAAACGCTTTAATTCGGATTAAACTTGTTCTTCGATGTTAATTATATTATGAATTTTAAATGTATGTGAAACCATAAACTTTAAAAAATTCAATACCGCTTTAAAAGAAACTCGCATATCTGGTTAGCATCTAAACTTATGTTCTTTTAACTCAGAATGCAGAATTATTTTTAGTTTAACACTGTTGCATTTTCAGTTTTGACAATAATATTAAAGTAAATGAAGCAGACAGAATTTTTTAAAAATTTCTTGTAATCTTTAGTCTGTAATGAGAATAATACTCAGTCTCTTCCGCGATATGATGTCTTAGATCGCTGACGTAAAATAAATGAAAATCTGAATATTCCTTAAATGCAGATATAATAATAATACTCTAACATTAGGTGGCAACAGTTTGAAAAGTGAAACGGACATTTATAGTGAACCAACGCAAAATCGCAGAACGAAAACAATAGTCTTTCAGAGACAGAACCTCTTTAGACTAAAAATTCCAGTTTTTTAGCAAAATTTTCACTTTGTTTTATCGAAAATTAATTAATTTTACTTGATTATTGACCTAGTTGAATTAGTTGATATCTGCAATCTAAGAACTTTAAAATAGTATTATGACTCTGGCCTCAGTTCCTCCTGACGAACATTTGTGATAAGAACTAAATTTTTTTAAATGCCTTTCAGTAATTTTTTCCCACTTTTTGTACTCATTTATATCACATTTCTTTATAACGTTTTGTCAATAATTTCTTTTTTTCAAAATCGTGATTTACCTTTCATCTGGAGGATCCTTGGCGAGTCCTAAATTCCACATCTAATTTTCATATTCCCTTTAAAAAATCAATTCAAACTCAGAATGGATGCAAAGAACCTTTTTTCAGAAAGGGGTTTCACAATTACCAACATACATCAAACACTGAAGCTTCATAAGGAAATACCAGCGCGTCGAAAGGTTTTTTTTGATATTAAACCATAATCTAGTCGTCTCCAAGATTTAGGCTTACAGAGATAAAGTCGGAACATTGTTTTTAAACACTTTTAAGAATGGAAATGATGCAATAGATTGGAACAAAGAATTGGGTGTTAAACTTTCAAGTAACATGGATCAAGAAAAATAATCAGAAATAAAAGCAGAGGATTTTGATGCCCGCCTAATTATTTCGGTGACTGCAATCAGTCTCACCGAAACAGAAAGATATCCTTACGATTTGTTGCTTTTAAAAGTCAAAGACATGAGGACGAAAGCATAAGAAAACATTTCCTCAAAGTAAATTCTAAACGAGTTAAAATCTCTTGAAGGCCTCGTTTATTAAAATCATTAATGTGGTTGCACTTATTGGAGAAGTTAAACAACAAAAATCAGCGTAAATGTTTTAAATTTTGCAGGACTAGTTTCGATGATTTAAATACAGAACCACCGTCTTCAGCTGCTTAAGTGCAAAGTTGTTATTTAGGCTGCCTAAGTCCAAAGCTGCCTAAATGCAAAGTGGTTGCACTTCTTTATACATGCAAGAAGCATCCAGAAAATAACATATGCGCTTCTATGAGAGTTCTAAAACCCAAGTTTCTGATGTCTTGGACAAGTTTCTAACTTTTTCACTAATTGACTAATGTCACTAATGTAAACTTTGGTATTTTTTTAATACCACACGCAGAATATTGCAATGTATGTTTTCTCTGAAGTAGCATTTAATAATTTTGTGTGTGGATAAAAATATTGATAATTATCTATTTACACACTTCTGTAACAATATTAAGTGCAGCCGAAAAGTCATTTAATTGGGCTGATTCCGTCTTAAAAAATAATGGTTTATATAAACATTTCCTTAAGCCTGTTCTTTCAGTAATTAAGGTCTTGGCTATTTTGTTTTTGCTGGAACAGTTACCGGAGCTTTTCTTATAATTACTGTTATTATTATTGCAGATCCCATAAAGAAATAACAGGCAATTTTCTGTTTTTGCTATTTTACGTTTTAAAAAAAACATTGATTTATTTTTCTACGTTTTACTTATTTATTTTAATTTTATTTACCTTAAAGTTTTTTTATTTCTTTTATCTAAATATTTCCTACTAAAGTAATAAAAACCTTCTACACAGAGATAAAAGATAAAAAAGATAAATATTTAGTTTAACAAATAAAAATAGCTGAGAAGAGTCCATAATCAGCTGTTTTGTAATGCTTAAACATACCTAACCACTGGTCTAAGTATCTATGACTTAACCTATTTTTTACTTATAACAAATGCTCAGATGTTTATACGCAAAGATGTATTTAAAATTTTATTTAATTTAAATATGTATATTATCTATGTAAAAGCTATTTTTCTATCCTCACTCTTGTGACTGTAACAAAATATGCATTCTTCAAATTAGTTTTGAGACGTATTTAGTATTAGTCAATACTACCGAGCTACTGCGTATTTAAAAATGTTAGTGATAAGAATGCCATAAAATTTTGCTTTAATCTAATTTCATTAACTTGAGAGTAGTCACAACATAGAAATTTTGCTTTTTCTTAAACTGTGCATGTACCATTCATTGCGCCATAACAATTTGATAATTCGAAAGTGTTTTCCATTTGTCTGCTTTTGCGAATTAATGGTATGTTTCCTATTTCTAATCTTGTTAATATTCAAACTAGAAAATTATTAATAGGGAGCAGAATATTAAAGTTGGTATATAAATGAAGTAATTTTCTAAGCACTCAAAAGCCATGATTGTAAAGTATATCTATTTGTTTTGGGTACAGAAAAAACAAAAGACATAGAATCCACATTTACGAAAATTAGATTTGTTGTTTAAAAATGCAAAAACAACTAAAAATAAAGTTTTGTATGAAATCAGTAATTAAAAATTTTTACTGATTTATAAGTAATTGATTTCATTTATTATTTTCAGTAGTTGATAACAATAAAAGTTAATTCTCAGAAAATAAGTTTATATTGTTAAATTAAACAAAAATGTATTATTTTACGAAAGCAATCTGCATTATTCAGTAAACCGAAACTCAAAACCTTTAGGTGACCTTTTAAAAGATCTTTCAAAAAATTATTTATTTATAAGATGATTATTTTAATGTTATTTTCTTGTCATAAAAACTTGCAAAACTTATTTTCCAAGCAGTTCGAATATTTCCAAGCAGTTCGAATATTATCACTGAGTTATAACAAACCTTTATATTTATTCCAAAACAATAATCCACTTATGGTTATCTATGTAAAAGCCCTCCTGTTTTTTGGAAGGCAGACATTTTTGACTATTCGTTCTTTCTAATCATTTTATGACCAATCTTGTCTTTGTGAAAGTTTAAATAAACTCACTGCAACATTTTGCTCATAAAATAAGTATTATTTTGTTTAAACTAATATTCGAGAGTGATATGTTGTATATTATTCGCATTTTCGGTCATCAAAATTATTTTACAAACGTTAAAAAATCTGATGTATACACAACATGACTTGCTTGTACTCACTAATAAATTATACGCATTTTTTCCTGCATTTCGTTTAAACTTATTTAATTGAACTAAATCTATTTCGTCGATAGCGCATAAATCACAATAGAATAAATGCAATATTTAAAATTCATTATATTTATTTACCATAGCGACATTCACTTCGCAGCGTTACATCTCATTCATTTAATAACTCAGAATACACAAAAATTTTATCATCTGAAGAATTATCTAATCGCTGCCACATGTTCTATTGAAATACTATAATAAATTTAGAACGATGTATAAATGAAATTAAACAAATAAAAAAGAAACACTTTTTCACAGACGATTCAACGCCGCTTACCTAACGCACATGCGCTACTCGTAAACGTTCTGCTCTTCCTGAGACAGATTGGCGACAATATTTGCTTCTAATACGAAACACTCATTTCCTCGAATTTCATTAGAGGTAGATTTTTCATTCAATGAATCCAGTTCTCACTAAATAAAAGGCAATAATAAAATCTCAAAATATCTTCATTAAAAACTGAAAGATATAGAAAATCATAAAACACCAAATGCAGTTAAAACAATTCAAAAAACATAAAACAGCGGATACAGTTAAAACAATTAAAAACATAAATCACCAAATACAGTTAAAAAAAATTGAAAAAAGCACATTTTACAATTGAAATTAGAGTTTCTGCGCGAAAACAAGTAATTCGGCCAACAGACAAGAAGGCAGATTGTTCGATGCACAAACCTAAAAGTGTCCTTTTGTTCCCATTCGGCAAAAAGACACTAAAGATGCAGAAAGAACTTAATTCACTATTCTGCTAAGTTTCAAATGTAAACAACTCTGGCTGCTATGGTAAGAAAAATTAGGCTTAGCCGCGCATAAACAATTTTTAAATTGTTGATAATTCTACAACTGCTGCCTGCAGTTTAACTAAGAACATAAAAACCTTAACCGGGAGGTAAGAACAACATAATCCAATCATTTCAATCATTTTTAAAGCAAAAGATGCATAATTTAAGAACATAAGAATAAGAAAAACTGAGCTCTCTGAGCCGAGTTCTGAGGCTACTCGTTTTTTGAGTTACGCGAGATACATGCATACATACGTACATACAGACGCCACGAAAACACAATCTCTTCTGGCTTCATTTTAAATCAGTTTTATAATTCGTTTGGGAAAAAGAATCTTCTATCCTCTCCTTACGCACATATGTCACGCAAAAACATCGTTAAATTGCATTCGACAGCTGTCTAAATGGGTATTTTCTCTGCAATATGATACCCGGAATTTTTAGTGATTACAATACTTCCTTTACTTCATACAAGGAAATAAAAATCCCTTGTTCAGATTTCGACGGCTTTTAGTTTTAGATAATACCTTATTCTCTAGTTTTTCGAATAACAGTGTATGTTCCTGTATGAATTACAAAATAGTTATTGCAAATCGAAAAATTAGGAATTAATGTTTAAACTCTCTCAGTTTTTATGACCTCGTGTTTTCTTTGAGTAAAGTTCTACGGACTCTTGCCTAAGTTCTAACGGTACGCTCTTAATTATCTTCCTAGGCATTGTATTGCTTCTATAACTTCTGTTTGTTCCAAAAGTACAGTACAGAAATCTTCAATGAAATTCTATAGTCTACAACAAATTTCGCTAAAGGCAGGCAGATTGGCAACTGTTTTATGATCGAATTCCTATCTACGGCACAATTGACTATAAATATCGAATGTTGACAGCATATTACAACATTAGAAGTAGACGATAAATTCTCCTAAAATTTGCCATATTACCCCAGGTATAGGTGAAACGTACTTTGTCCTCCATACAATCACAGAATATCCCTAAAAACGGCGCTGCGAGTTTTTACGACTTCATAACTGCGTACTCTATCCAAAGCCTGAGATATATCGTAAAACAAGACAGATAAATCAATGGCTTTGATAATGTAAACAAGATTGGACGTTAATATACGTCAGGGAGGAACACGATGTCCTAATTTACGACTCTCAGATTTCCGTTCGTGGTATTTTTACGGCCTATGTTCCGAAATAGTTGTCGAACATGTCAAAGGCAATAAGATTCGGAAGAAGAGGAAGACGGACTTAACGAAATTTAATGATTTAATTTTCCGTATTTTGTGATGCTTTTACTGCGGTACAAAAGCGAAAACAAAGAAGGGAGTCGTAAAATGGGGTTGTTAAGTTTCAATAAGGTACTTCTCATAGGTTGTCTCGACAAGAGTTCTTCCAGAATACAGTTTTATTGTCAAAATAGAATTCTAAACAGCAGTAGAAGGTCATTTAAAGCGATGATACGTTTGCAGTAACCAAGTATAGAAGTTTAACAAATTTTATTCCTTTAATGGCGCTTTAAGAGGATGGTAATGGGATCATCAATCAATGTCCAAAATTTTTACAGGAAAATCGAGCGAAAATAAAGGATTTTAGGGAGTAAATAAATTAGCGTTAAGGCAAGTAGGTATGATTTACAACTTTCATTAGCAAAGTGGTGAGCATTTGCTTAGATACCACTTTTTTTATTTTTTACTATTTTACTAGCAGAACTAATTAGTTTCAGACAAGGAAATCTCAGTTCGCCTTGTAATTAGACTTAACTGAAAAACTGAGAACTGATATAAAAATAATTATAGTTACACTATAAACAACGATATGGTATTTGATATGCCAATAACGAAATTAAAAGGGTTTTAAACATAAAGAAGCAACTATAGAAAGGTAGTGTCAAAAATAATTATGATCAGAGACAAATTCTGAGTTAATTAGTCGTTTAGAAAGATTTTAATCAACATATTATAAACAGGGAAAAGATAGATATACAGAAAATAAATCTTTTCATAAAGTTTTTAAACTGAAATAAACTGCCTGCGGAACATTTTACAAAAAATTCAAAATTAACAAATATTGCTGTTAAGTGGGAAATAAATTTAGGAATTTCACAGCGAAAGTGAAATGTTGAAGTACCTATTCGAAAGTGGATATGAGGAAATTCGAGGGCGGATATAATGATTCGAAGGAGGGTAAATTCCCTTTGAAAAATATGAAATTAAAAGAATAGCAAAAATTTTGGTATACAATTTTCGATATTTCTAATATTCTTACAAGTCTTTATAACATTTTAGGGGTCTTACAAGTCTTATAGCTTTAGAGTTAGAATCCAGGCTTCATTTACAGTGATTCATAGTCGAAGAAATTCCGATTTATTGCGCCAACAGAAAGATGCAAATGTTCCATTCGGACACGTTTTTTGTCCAATATGAGCAAACGGGGCACCCAATGTGCAGCCAGCTTGCGCGTGTCTACATCTTGGTTCAATATACGGCAAACACGTTCTTTGGACATGCTCATCGCAGGTACCTAATGACAGCGCGATACTCGATTTGTTCCACTTTTGCAAAAACGGTCACATCAACAAACAAAAGTAATTGTCAAACAAAACATTCGCGTTCAAAATAGCTGAAAATTTGACTGGTAGTTATCAAGTGATGCCCAAACAAGTCCGTTCGGTTGATTTAAGTTGGAAGTCTGAAACTTTTCAGACAGTCCTCGTGCTGTTTGAAGAGATTACAGGAAGCGCTTTTGTTAGTTTACATCAGTTTTAATATTTTCTCTAACGGATAATAAATTAAAACTACCAAATAATGATGCACCAAGTACATAATATACGGAGTTAGAAACAGCTTTTAATAATTGCAGTAACGCTGTATTTATTCCAATTTATGTCAGTTAAATATATTTTTATAAATAAAATAAATTAAGAAATTGTTTTATTTTTACATAGCGTTTTTAAAGTATTAGACTGATTAAATTCGAAAGGTAAATCAAATATTTATCTTTTTTTGAATAGTAGTTTTAGATAAGTGTTCAAGATAAATCGAAGATAATCGCCGCGTCCAAGATAAATCGAAGATATGGTCACACTTTGGTAATACTTGTCAACATAAAGTATTTATCGTAGCATAACGTAACGTAACGTTGCCGAACCTTTTACCTTTTTCGTAAAAGGAAAAATGAAAAGTCAGCTTTCCTGATTGCGAGTTGAATGTCATAACCTACCCCATGCAATGTAATGTACGTAAGAATTGTACTTATCGCATTCTTACGTTTCCAATGTACTTAAGAATGCGATAATTCCTTAAATTCTCTTCCATTTAAAGAAGAGCTAAGTAGAGGTACTAATCATATAAGTGATGATGATGTATATTCGACCATATTTAAGTTCATGTCTTATTATAGAAACTATTAAGTGCTTTTAGGAAAACAGGTGAAAGATTAAACGTGCCCCTTCCAGGATTCGTCCACGTATCTTCCAGTTGGATGTCTCAATTTAGTCCTAGAGACCTAACTCTACAAAGGCATGTTTGGAAAATCCGCTAAGGAAATTTTGAAAGCTAAAAGATTTGAATTTATACTTCCTTTTGTTTTTCGTGTCTTAAAAGTTAGTCTTTATTTATGTAAAAACAAGAAAGGTTAATTAATGTAAAAAGACCTGATGTTCCTGTCGAGTATATATAGGTCTGATTTTTATATGAAAATAAGTAACGGAAATAAACAAATATATGCTATTCTAGAATTTATCTATTAAATTTTTAACAAAATATATTCTTTTTAAAGATGTGTTTAATTTCTTAATAACCTCAGGTTCAAAGACTTTCATTTGGTTGAAATTGCGTTATGAACCAACACAGTATAATATTCAAATTTCCTGAATTTGAGCAAAACGTTCAATTTACCAAATTTTGAATTTCATCGACAATATCTTTTAAGTTACATGAGTGTGCGTAGCTTTGCTTCCCCAAAGTACTTTCTGTTTAATACTTTAAAAAAATGTTAGATTTATTAATGAGTTGCCATTTCCTTTAAGCCTGTTTCTCCACAGGCGGAGCATATTTTTTTAATATTTATGTTTAACTCCTAAAAAAAAATTATTCTTAATTACAGTTGATAGATATTAAGAGACAGAAAAAGAGGTTTTTTTTTTTTTTTTTTTTTTTTTTTTTTTTTAAACATTTGTACCATTCATGCGTGGATCGAATAATTAAGTTCCCTGAGCTTAATCTTTCCATGGAAAAGTTGCCGGAAATAGATAAAAAAAATACTGCGATTGATACAGTCTTAACACTCACACAGATCACGAAAAGGCTTAACTGCAAAGAAGAATCTAGAGATAGTTAAAAAATGGAAGCCTTCATCAACGCTGTTGTCAAGACAAGAAAAAAAAAAGAAATTTTCAACTTAACGAACGATAGATAACAAAGTCTCAAGTCGCTCAATCAAACTCAAACGCGTCCATGAATACGAAATGACCTTGGGCAAAAGAATAAATTATTTTATAAAGCTCTTCATAATAGCAAGAACTCCTTAAGTGTTTTTTTCGAGTATTCAAGGGTGGAGTTAGAAAAATAAAAAAAAAATCTTTAGCTGTGTCACTTTAAGCTTCAGTATGCAGAACACTGCAGCTGGTT